AAACGCAGGTTTCGCGCTAGGTAAAATCAACAACATTATTTCAAAGTTCGCATGTCACCACTAGGCGAACCCAACAGAGATTGATTGAGAAGGCCAGCAGGCGCACCACCCGAAAATAACGTACAACATCCGGGTGGTGTAAAACCCCGCGCCGCTTCGTATGAATTGGCGGGGCCCATGTTGCCAGGATAGAGGTTTTCTAGGAAAAACGATGACAAGAAAGAAACGATATTCTGTTATACTTGTACATTTGCTACTCCTTGTTTTCGTCGTTCATCACGTCGTAGTATCTTGGAAAAATCCGGCAAAGTGTTTTGCGCTAGCGCCGCGCTAGCACGGCCTAGCAAAATGTCAACGCAACCTCCCCCGGCAGACCATGGCCCATTCCTCCTCTAGCAGACCACAAAGGAACACCATAGAACGAGAGCGCTATGCTTGCTGGAGCTCGAGCGCGCAAGTGGCGACAGCGGAGGAAACCTTCGCTCGCGCCAGAAATCCAGACAGCAGCCTGAAAATGGGTCCGCGCTAGCACCCTTTATAGGAAATCATGCTTGGATCCTTCAAATGTCGCGTTTGCTTACCCCATTCAATCAGCTTCTTTTTCCTTCAGGACATAAGGCGGCACCGAGGGAGTTCCGATTTAACGTCAATTTCGGGAACAAGCATTTTGCACACACACGCACACGAGCACACGCACACGCACACGCACACGCCACGCACACACACGCACACGCACACGCACACGCACACGCCACACCGCACACGCACACGCACACGCACACGCACACGCACACGCACACGCACACGCACCAGCACACGCACACGCACACGCAAACGACACGCACACGCACACGCACACGCACACGCACACGCACACGCACACGCACACGCACACGCACACGCACACCGCACACGCACACGCACACGCACACGCACACGCACACGCACACGAAACACGCACACACGCACACGCACACACACGACACGCACACGCACACGCACACGCACACGCCACACGCACACGAACACGCCACCACACGCACACACGCACACGCGCACACACACCACCACACGCGGCACACACGCGCAAACACGCGCACACGCGCACCACGCGCACACGCGCACACGCGCACAGCGCACAACGCGCACACGCACACGCGGCACACGCGCACACGCGCACACGCACGCGCACGCACACGCGCACCCGACAGCGGGCACACGCGACCAGCGCACACGCGCACAAGCGCACACGCGCACACGCGCAAACGCGCACACGCGCACACCGCACACGCGCAACACGCGCACACGCGCGCGCACACGCGCCAACACGAGCCACACGGACACACGCGCACCACGCGCACAAGCGCACACGCGCACACGCGCACCACGCGCACACGCGCACACGCGCACACGCAACGTGCACACAAGTGCACACGTGCACACGGGTGAACACGTTGCACCACGGTTGCACACGGTTGCACACGGTGCACCACACACGCACCCGTGCACCACGGTGCAACGGTGCACGGTGCACACGGTGCACAGGTGCAGGTGCACACGGTGCACGGTTGCACACGGTGCACACGGTGCACACGGTTGCACACGGTGCAACGGTGCCCCACGGTGCACCACGGTGCACACGGTGCACACAGGTGCACGGTGCACACGCACCGTGCACACGGTGCACCACGGTGCACACGGTGACACCACGGTGCAACGGTGCACACGGTGCACACGGTGCACACGGTGCACCACGGTGCACACGGTTGCACACGGTGCACACGGTGAACAACGGTGCACGGTGCACGGTGGGCACACGGTGCACACGGTTGCACCGGTGCCACACGGTGCACACGTGCCACGGGTGCACACGGGTGCACACGTGACACGTGCACCACGTGCACACGTGCACACGTGCACACGTGCACACGTGCACACGTGCCACACACGTGCAACGTGACACACACGTGCCACACGTGCACGTGCACACGTTTAGCGTGCACACAGTGCGGTGCCACCGGGCACACGTGCACACGTGCACACGTGCACACGTGCACACGTGCACACAGTGCACCGTATCACACGTCCACGTTGCACACGTGCACACGTCACACGTGCACAACGTGCACACGTTGCACACGTTGCACACGTGCACACGTGCACACGTGCACCCACCGTGCACACGGCACACGGCACCCACCACACACGTGCACACGTGCACGGTTGCACACGTGCACACGTGCACCGGTGCACACGTGGCGCACACGTGCACGCACCGTGCACCACGCACACGTTGCACCACGCACACGTGCACACGCACCAAGAACACGCAACACGTGCACAACTGTGCCACAGCGCACACCACGAGTGTGCACGCACACGTGCACAAGCGTTGCAGCGCATACCCGGGCACCACGCACACGTGCACCACGCACACCGGCAACACGCACAACGTGCACCACGCACACGTGCACCACAGCCACACGTGCACACCCACGCACACGTGCAGCGCATCACGGGTGCACACGGGCCACACGTGCACCCACGCCACGTGCACCACGCACAGTGCCCACGCACGTGCACACGCACGTGACCCACACACGTGCACCACGCACACGTGCACCACGCACCCCGTGCACCACGGCACACGTGAACACCACGCAACCACGTGCACCACGCACACGTGCACCACGCACAACGTGCTGGCCCACGCACGCACGCACACGTGCACCACGCACCCGCACACGTGCCACACAGCACCGCACACGTGACACCCGCACACGTGCACAACACGCACAACGTTTCTGCACCACGCACACGTGCACCACGCACACGTGCACCACGCACACGTGCACCACGCACACGTGCACCACGCACACGTGCACCACGCACACGTGCACCACGCACACGTGCACCACGCACACGTGCACCACGCACACGTGCACCACGCACACGTGCACCACGCACACGTGCACCACGCACACGTGCACCACGCACACGTGCACCACGCACACGTGCACCACGCACACGTGCACGCACACGTGCACGCACACGTGCACCACGCACACGTGCACGCACACGTGCACCACGCACGCGCATGCACGCACGCGCATGCGCGCACGCGCGCATGCAAACGCACGTGCACGCGCACGAACGCACACGCACGCACACGCGCGCACACGCACGCGCACGCACACGCACGCACATGCGCGCACACGCACACGCACGCACGCGCATGCACACGCACGCACACACGCGAACGCACACCAACACCCACGCCCACGCCCACGCACACGCACACGCACACGAACAAGCGCAAGTGCACGCGCACGCGAAAGCGCACGCGCACGCGCACGCGCACGCGCACGCGATCGCACGCGCATATACACGCTCGCACACGCACGCTCGCCTTGGCTGACTGTTTTGGCATCTGCCAAGCAAGTCGGACAAATTTTCAGTGTTTTGCATGCTTTGGTATGTTCGACAACCGCAGTGCGTTTTAGGATGGTTTAGGCATGCGGTGGTGAGCGGCTTGAAATGTTGGACCGAGGGACTCTCATCAACCGTGGATGCCTTGGACCGTGCACTCAGCATACTTGGACACCAGCAACGTGCCTTGGAACGAATGTTTCCGAGCGGCTCCGTGAAGAGTTGGAGAGTCTTTGACAAATGATTTTCGACAATTTGCGACAATTTTCTGATTGAGGCATTGGTGGCCAAAGCAGCGGCTTTCTACAGATGGAGGAGAACGGTGCACCAATGGCATCGAACCAAGATGTTAGGTTTGAGGAGCATCGGTGGCCAAGCTACAGCGGCACATCGGCAGTGACAGGTGGCTGCCTTGTCGGCGATTGTGGAGGCGTGTTTGGCACAAGCACCCTTGAGTTGCGATGAGTTCAAGTTCACTACTGGTTCAACACAGTTCAACATCGTTCAATTGTGGTATATTGCAGGCATATGGAGTGACTGCGGCCGATCGTCAACAATTGCAGTCATTACTGCAGGGCCGTGTTCCTGGCAAACCCAAGCTTCCGAACCATGTTGGCACGTGCAAGTTCCAGGACACCTTCAAACAGAGAAAACATCAGAGGAGGCGTCCTCAGCAGACAGTTGTAATCGTCATGCGTCTACACTCACTCTGCACTTACACGGATTTTTCACTCAGACCCTGCAGGAAGCAGAGGATGCTGCTTTGGACGCGGCCTTCAGCGTAGAGCCAATTGCAAAGTACGCCCACTGATGTCTGAGATTCTTCCTTCGGTCAGAAGTAGTGCCAGTATCGCCTCAGTATCGCCACAGTATTGCAGTATCTGAGAATCTTCTTTCCCAGTGGCCAGGTCCAAAGGCAGTCACCTCATTCGGGTGCGACCCTGGAACCCTTGTGTTGCCTAGCCTGCTGTGTGCGACCAGCATAGCTGATACTGGTGCAGCATGAAAGACAAGCCGGATTGTTCAACATGGTTCAACCGTTTCGATTCAAGCCAAGATAGTCAAGGCAGCGGGTGACCACGTGTCTTGTGGCTAGCGTAGCCATTCCGATTCCTCGTGGTCATTTCATTTTCGCCTTCAAGACTTGTGGGATCCTGGACAGAGCTTCTTGGACAGAGTTTCTTTCGGGCAGCTTGTCTAAGGAGGGTGCTACATTGCCTTTTTGTTCGGAGATGACTACCCCAAGTATGCAGTGTCAAATTGGTGTTCGGATTGACTCCCCAAGTATGCAGTCCCAAGACTTTGTTTGGAGTTTCAGGTTTCTTTTTTCCAGCATCTCGGGAGAGTGTGCACGGGGAGAAGGCAGGCTTGGAAAATTGAACTCAGAGCGACGCAGCAACGAAGTCCAGCACAGAATGCTTCTTCGGCACATTGCTGAGAAGATCTGAGAAGATTGGCAATGTTCTGTGGGGGGAGACCTCCAAGAAGACTTAGGACTTAGGAAGCAGAGTATTGGCACATTGCCGCAAGTTTGATGAACACGTCATGGAGTGCTTGGCTGATTGCCGAGGATGGATCTCGATGCTTGTGCCCGTGAGGGCAAAGCTGGCACAACGAGCACAACGGGCACAGCTCCCGGCGATGATGAACAGCTCCAGCTACTTGAGGGCTCGATCCTGGCGGTGAGGCTGTTGGCATCTGCATTTGCTGCAGACAGTACTCAGTGGTTTGTGGCAGTAACCGTGGGGAAGCAGGAACACGAGATCTTGTCCCATTAACGCTGCGCGCACGTGCTGCTTGGGGAACGGGGTCGTTTTCGAACGCGGAAAAGTGTCAATTTTGGAACGCATGGAACGCAGACTACGTTCCAAACTGGCGCATGTTTTGTTTGGGCAGCTGCTCTGATGTAGTTTTTTGGTTGAGGTGGTTATTCTTACGCTGCAGAACAACCACACGTGGTTTTCTACGGTGGCTAGAGAAACCGGAGGCACTCTAAGATTGCGGCTCAAATAAGAGCAGCTTTGCTCCGTTCGATTCCACATCCTTCTTACGCTCTTTTACAAGCAGAGGCATTCTCTTTTGGGGTGCTGCCTATGACTGTCCCGACGAAGGAGCAAATCCTAGCGCGATTCAGAAACTGGACGCGAGTTAGGAAACCAGGATTCAGGAAACCAGCCCCGCGATTCAGGAAACCACGATGCAGGAAATTTTGCGGTTCAGGAAACCAGGATTCAGGAAACCAGGATTCAGGAAACTAGCCGATTCAGGCAAACGGACAACGTGCGATTCAGGAAACTGCGCGATTCAGAAAACTGAGAGCGCGCGATTCAGGGGGGGGGGGGGTTGTGGGGGGGGGTGGGGGGGGCGGATGATAACGTTCCTGTCCGCGCGCTCCAGTTTCCTGAATCAGCTGGCTTCCGAAACCGCGTGCTTCAGTTTCCTGAATCAGCTGGTTTCCGAATCCCTCCAGTTTCCTGACTCAGCTGGTGTGGCGAATCCGCGCATTCAGTTTCCGAATCTGCGCTTGGAAGTTTCCCGAATCACCGGTTTCCGATTCCGCGTTTTCCAGTTTCCTGAATAAGCGGTTTTCCCGAATCCTGGTTTCCAGAATCAGCGCTTTTAGTTTCCCGAATCAGGTTTTTTCTAGTTCCCGAATCAGGTTTTGCCAGTTTGCGAATCCGCGCGTTTTCAGTTTCCGAATCTGCTGCTGACCCGAAGGAGCACCTGGCACGACAAACAGCTTTCCAATCGGTCTTTTATCTTGATGATCGAAAGATATCGACATACCCAACAGACTACGATCGAGACATCAGTCCCAGAGTTTGATGTCGCAATGTCTTCTTCTCGGGTTCCCACACATGAAGACGCTGGAAGATGCTTGAATGCTTGAAGCCGCGACATGCCACGCAAGGCCAGAGCTGGAGGCGACAACCGTCGAAGATTGCCGCTCTGTACGTACGGTTTGGTGAAAATGTGCAACGTTGTGAAAGATTGTGCATACTTCGTCATGTCTGTGGCTATTGGATGCTATTGGAATATTTGGAATGTTGAGGTTATGCAGGTCATCCTCCTCGCCTTCTAAGAGGAGCGAGCGGGGGAAGCAGTCTTCTAAGTGGTTTGACCGACGAGTCGGAGCCTCAACTGGGGGCAGGCAAGCGTGTGTCATTTGTGGCATGGCACCAGTTCTTTCACGCGAAGGTTGCCGGGCTCTGCACTTCCTTGGATCCTTACGGAGCGTGCCAAGCTGCTTGTTTAAGAGCGTAGGTTTGAGGATGGGCCAGGATGGGCTGTTGTTACTGGTCAGTTCATCTGCGCGACTTCCTGCATAAGCTGCAGGCTGGCGATTGGGCTGGCAGTCCTTCTCAATGCAGCGGCAATGAGCGTGGAGGTTGAAGCAGAGCTACGCTTCGGAAGGCTTGCGAGGGCAGCTGCATACAACATCTGCAGTGTGCGGAGTTCCACACGCACAAACACTTTTGCTCGCTTGATAGTCCCGGTTTGTGACAGGACTTCCGTGCTCGGACTGTCAATGTACATCGTGCCATGACCATGACTATTTAACTTGCCTTATGTGCACGCGCCACATGGCCCAAGTCCTTCGGATGTCGTGCATCCAAGGTGCAGTTGGTATTCCTCCTCTTGTTTATGTTGGAACTGCTTCTGAACATCCGTTGCTGGGGCCTGGGCTTCTTTTTCAAGCACGGTGCTTCGGTGGCTTGGGTGCGTTTTATAGCAGGTGCATTTAGAGTCCATTTTTTTTTCGGGAAACATGCCTGTTGACAAGAAGAAGCAGACCGGAAAGCCAGGCACCTACGAAGAGCTCTTCGTGGCGGTGTGCGAGACTAGCTCGTGAATTTACCCACAAATTGCAGATTCAAGGGATTTTTGACTTCTTCGTGGTGCTGACCTCGGTGGTGGACCTGTGCATCATGAGACCAATGGACTTGATTTCAGAAATGTCCGCGCGCAAGACGGCGCAAGCATTCAGTGTGTTTCGCATACTTCAGTTGTTCCGTTTAGCTCGAATATTTCAATTTCTTCGACTCTCACATGAACTTTCACTCCTGGCCTTCAACTTGGCCATGTCACTGCGTGCCGTCTTTTGGGTGTTTCTGCTTCTGTTCACTTTGATTTACATCGGCGCACTCTTTTGTGCAAGTGAGTTGGGAAGCTCTGACAATGCACAGCTGCGAAGCTTGTTTGGCAATCTCTGGATCAGCATATTCTCGCACTTCAAACTCATGACCCTCGAGCAGTGGGTGGATGTCTGCAATTTAGCCATGGAGGAGAGTCCCATCTGGGCAGTATACTTTTTGTGCTTCATTATTCTTACAAATTTGACGTTGGTAAACCTCGTCACTGGCTTAATCATCACTGGCGTTGTCGAGCATGCGAAAGAAGAGGATTGGACGTGGTTAGAGCAGCTTGTGGAGGAGGCTCCGTTTATCGAAGCCTTGGAAGGACTGGTCGCCAAAAGCCAAGGAAGGTCTCACACAGCCTTAAACTACGTTGACTTCGAGGGCCTGCTTGCCGAGCCAGAATTCCAGCAGATAGTTTCACTTTATGGAATTTCGCTCCAAATGGAAGCTAGACAACTTTTTGATATCCTGGATTCGGATGGGAACGGTGTGTTGGAGATCAGGGAATTGGCGCAGTGCTTGCTGCAACTGCGAGGATCCAAGCAGTGCCTGCATCCGGTTCTAGTAAGGCATGACGTGAATAGGAAAGGCCAAGCATTCGCTGCCCATGTTGCAGAACTGGAGAAGAAGCTTCCACAGCAGTACTTTGCGGACATTGAGAATTGGGAGCAATCACTAAACGAGCAGCTTTGCCGATGGCGTCAGGGTTCGTTGATAGCAGCACCAGATGATCAAGACACTGACATCAAGCAAAGAAGCTCAAGTGGTCGAAGCTCAAGGCCAAGCCAGGAAGCTGGACCACATTCAGATCATTCAGCAAACTCCTCGCTTCCCTCACTATTGAGTTTGCTGAATTCGGCTTGCGTCTCCATTGAGGCTGGAGCTTGAAAGCATGGCTTTGTTTCTCGTGTATGCTGGACACAGTAGCCTCCATCTCTGAAACCCATGCGGTACGCCAAGGTCCTGCGTGCAAAGATTGCATCAACTGCCGCCGAATTTCGATCCCTTCAGCTGCAGGACAGACTACCAGTAGCAGCGGCTAGCATGCCCTAGAAAGTCTAGCTAATGATGAAACAAGCACATAAACATGTCAAACTGCTTCTTGTGTTCTCGATGTTTTTGATATCCGCTTCATGCCTCCTGTGCTTCCTGATCACGCTGACAATCTGATCCTATACTCGGTGCATGTACTGTCCAAGCCCTGACAGGAAAAGCAATTGGAATCACAATTATCAATTTCCTGTGAAAGCAGAGGTGTACAGGTGTCTTGTGGGACTGCTTGAAGACCGGTAAAAAGACAGGGGATGTGAGAGCGAGAGGGTCTTCGCGGCGCTGGCATGCTTTCACAAGTGTTGTGGTTTAGTCCGCCTCCAAACATTCTCATTGCTTTGGCCTGTTTAGGTGTTTGTGGCCAGGTTCGGGCATTTGCTGGAGCTCTCGACATTTACAATGGAAGCATGCAATACATGAGGAAGTCGAAGTCAAATCTTGAACATCATATGGCAAGTTCTGAGTTTGGCCGCAGAGTTTATCCTTTGCTTGCAACTGATAGGGTCGGGTCTGGTGTTTCTGGGCAGCTGGCTGGGTGCCAGGCGAACCCCAACGAACGCTTGTTCACATGGGTTGGGCTGGGGAGTTGCTATGTGTTGCTGTGCGATTTTGGCTTTGGTGATCTTTCAGGGTCTTTATGGGTTTAATGCTCAAAGCCGTGGTGGGTCTTTCCGGAAAGGGGGTGGGCGGGTGGATGGGGGAGGGGGGGGGGGTTGGGTTGGGTTGGGTTGGGTTGGGGTGGGTTGGGTTGGGTTGGGTTGGGTTGGGTGGGTTGGGTTGGGTTGGGTTGTTGGGTGGGGTGGGTTGGGTTGGGTTTGGGTTGGGTTGGGTTGGGTTGGGTTGGGTTGGGTTGGGTTGGGTTGGGTTGGGTTGGGTTGGGTTGGGTTGGGTTGGGTTGGGTTGGGTTGGGTTGGGCACACACACACACACACTTTTTTTATGTATATGTACATGTATATGTATATGTATATGTATATACATTTTGTCCTTCCTGAGGGTGCCAGAAAGTATGCGAAATCTAAGCCTGAGCGTTCAAGGATTGCTGGTGACAATGACATTTCAAGAGGTACTGAACGAGATCCTGGACAAGGCCCAGGGCGAGTGGCGCACTCAGTTCTGTGGCCAGTTCTCGTCACTAGCCCATGCGTCTCCCGTTTCCATGTCAGTTCTGGAGGAGAGGAGAGCAGGGCGGGAAAACTTTAACCAGTCCGTCCCACTTGTGCTACTTTCCCCTCAAATTCGCCCCCTACTCGTATCGCTTGCCCCACTTGATGGTTTAATCTTCAGAGCCCACAATGTTGCAACAGAGCTTTGCCACTTGCAAAGTGCAGAGCTTGTGTCGTCTTTCTGATGCAGGATCTCAGGTTTACTTCTACAGTACAACGTGGGCCCCAAATCACAACGGCCAAAGCTTCAGCGCCGGGGCTATGAGGCTCTGAGGCCCCTACACTGGAATCGCAAGGAAGCCATCACCATGCTGAAAGAGCAAGCCCGAGCCCTCGTGAAGTGCAGATCCATCCTTGCCTTTGGGCCTCCGATATCCTGAGAGGGACAGTGAGTCAAGAAGTAAGGCGCTGGGTTCAGGGAATCTTGGGGTTCGGATTTCTACTTGGCCTGCTGAAGGCTCTGTGGAAGAATCCAGCGTCCTGCAAATCGGGCCGGGCAAGCGGTAAAAGAGTCGGGCCGACTGGGGCAGGTGGGGCGACGACAGGGGGAAGGGATGGAGGGCAGTGGAGCAAGTGGGGCAAGTGAGGACCCACGAAAAGGGAACAAGCCCGGTCAATTCCTTCCTTCAATGCTGGTGATTTCTGGGAGGCTGGACCAACTACGAGGCAATGAGCAGCGAGACCTGCGCAGCTTCGAGCTGCGAAAACAGCCAGAAGCTTTCGCCAGTATGTGATCTGATGTGTTCAGGGTTGTGTGTTCTCACTCCATGGACGATGTTTTTTTTTGAGTTTGAGTCTGCACTAGGTGTGCATAACTTGAATGCGCAGGTTCGCACCACTGCTGCATAGACATCGCCTCATGTGAATCCGAAGGTCGCTGGCCGATCAGATGGCTTTCAAAAAGCGTGACTTGGTCATGCACTCGGTGTCCGGCTGTCTGTTTGGCTTGTGGCCGCTCCTGATCCACACGCTGAGGCTGCTGCAAAGGAGGCCCACAGTGAAGCTTCCCAAAGAAAGGCAGCTTCTGCTCCTGGGCAGCAAAGCGGGGCAACGGAGGGCCAGGGATAACTAGCAGGATTACTCTTGAAATGTTGATGAGTGGGTGGAGGGTGGCAAGAGATTTAGCGATTTTTAAATGTTGATTAGGAGTTGGCGTGCGTTAGGAATGACAACTCTTGCCCTAGTCTCTCTCTCTCTCTCACCCTTCTGGTCGGGGGCGCTGCCTGGGGATGATCGACGTAAGTATCTTGTTGATTGTTGTTGGCCGGGAGCTGTAAATTGGGGTCTCGTACTTGTATCCGACAACCCTCAAGCTTCGATCCCCGAGTCCACAACTGGGCGGCAAAGCAAAAAGTTCTTACCCTTCTTACCGTTCGTACATGTTCTTCCCCCCGGTTGTTCTCAGGAAGCGCAGACTTTTCACAGCTTTGGCTTTCAACCCCGACACGTTTCCGGCGATTCAACTGTCACCTCTCATTTGTATCCATAAAGCGAAAGCTTCTCAGCATGTTGCAGGCGTTCTTGATTTCGCAACATATTTCAAGAGGGCGCTTGTTGTTTGAAGAGTTGCGGTTGTCAGCGAAAAGCCGCTCAGCCATGCTCAGCCATGCTAAGCCATGCTAAGCCATGCTAAATGCGATGCCAAATGCGATGCTAAATGCGATGCTAAGCCCACCCCGAGCTTGTCAGTGCCTCGCCTCTGCAGCGCGGCCTTGAGGAGAAGCTCCTTGCATCCGCTCGCGTCGGCATGGGAGAAGCTGCCGCAAGCCTAGGGGCCCATGGACATCATTTGAATCATGTGGCGACTGAGATGACAATGACTGAGGCAGCTGCCCTTCAGGAATCGGGCCTTGGACATGAACATACATGAACCCTTGGTGGCTTTTCCTGCTCGCGCAGCCGAATACGGATGCTCTGAATGCTTGTCCTTGGTTGACTGGAGGACTTGCAGAAAGCTTGCCTTCAAAAGGCAGCTGTGATCTCGGATGCTGCGTGCCTGTACGCCGATGGCTCTTTTGTGATTCTCTGGTGCGGCCAAGTCGAAGTTCGAGGAGGAGACGCAAGCCAGGACCGAAGAAGTGCATGCTACTTTGCTAATTCTGGAGACCCTGCACCTCTTCCACCTCTTTCAGCTTGATTGTTGAATTTGATTGTTGCAAATGGTGATAATCTGCTTGATGCTGCAAGAAGTGTGGAAAGCAAGCATCAGGCCGGAAGAACATTCTTGACATTTATAAGCACTACACTAAGCTCCCGTGCAAAGTGGTAGTGTCCATCTGAGGCATTGCAGGAGGCAAAGGATGCCATTTCTTCAAGAATGCGAGGTCAGCCACGGCACAAAGAGTGCACGTGCGCAGGGGGGCCCCTGCTCACTCAGGTTCACTGTCTTTCCTGCAGCTTCAGCACAGGGGCCGCACCCTAAAACACTTGCAAGCTCACGTTCGATCATGTGCGTGGCATGCGCCTTGCCATCATCGCCTTGCTGTGGCAGGCAAAGCCGAAGTGAGTCAGGCTCAAGCGACACCAGCAGAAGAAGATTATTGAGCAAGAAGCGTAGGTTTCATATGATACTTGCAAAATCTTGCACATTCATTCTTTTGAAGAGCCTTTCGGTTGACACTGGACGACGAGTATACCTGTAATGGTCGGCCGAACAAGGGTTGCCGTTCCCATATCTCTATTGGTTGCAGAGACTGGTTTGTATCTCGTGAGACACGCTCCATCGCAAACCCCATGATTCAACATGCTGCAGCCTAGTCCCTCAGATCAAATGCCGACTCATGGAACGCCGAGCAAAGCTGCGAGGAGGCCATCACTGAGTGCAAATTGTTGCATCAAGGGGTCTAATCCGGTCTAATCAAGTATAGTGGGTCAGTACTAAGGGATCCAGCTTCTCCCCACTGAGTCTTGACTCAGGGAAAGAGTGGACGTGATTTTGCAACGTGCGGAAGCTGCCAGCAACCGCAATCTGTCGCAACTACCAGGCAATCTATGATGTTTGCATGAGTGAGCCATGCTTTGCTTCTTTGCACGGCCAGCATGTTGCGTGTTGGGACGAACGCGCGCGTGCACCTTGTCAAACCTTCTTGTTCGACTGAACCGGCGCATGCTACTGTCATTAGCATGAGAGACATACCGAAGAATCACAACGGAGCCCAGTGTTTCCACAACTCTTCCAAAATAAGGTGCGGTGCAACATCTACTGTGCGAGGTGGGTACGATGCCAAAAAACATCGCCGCACATCGAACCTTTGCATTTGCATTCAGCTCGAACCTCATCGGCAAGCAGATTTACTTATCACTCAGTGGCACAAAGTTCTGTCGAAGCTTCTGTTTCGAATCGCAGAAAAAGCAGCTTTCGCAAATTCGATCAGATCAGATTAAAATTCGTTTTCGTGCCCCTTGCCAGCCGATAGCCTTCTCGCTCAAACCGCTGTCTGGTGATGTCCGGTGGTCTTGCGCCGAGTCGGGATCTTTGCCAAAGGGGCAGCATGAGGCAGCATGAGACATGTTGAGCAGACTGAGAGAGCAAAAAGGGAAAGGGGACGTTTTTTTCTCAAAAGACTTGCAGAATCCTGGAGTCGATCCGCGGCTTCGGCTGATGTCACATTTCTCAGTTTGTCTGTTGCAGTGTGCTCGTTGCATTCTGTGCGGTAGGGTGCTTCGAATCTCCCTTGCAGGCAGAAGGGCAAGTTTGGTACAAATGAATTGCGTGGGGTTGGCGCAATGCTCCCGCAGAAGGTGTACGAAGAGTACATTGCGTTGAAAATCAACTCAGCGTGAGCAGACCCGTGCCTTAGAGATGTGCTCAGTCGCGGCAGGGTGCAGCGAACCTGAAGTCAAATTCTGAAGCTTCGCGTTCTCAAGCCCCGCAACCTGCCACCACCGCTGCTTGTTGCAACGCTGTGCTGCCAGAGATACCGTGCGTGACGCCACCAAGATCAAGCGTACCCGCTCCTTCGGGAAGGCGCACATTCGAACCAAAGCTGGTGGAGTTGCGGCCGGTCCCTTGTCCCCATCACTTGGTCCGAGAGGTTTGTCCCTGTTGTTTGTCGCAGCTAGAAGCA